ATAAAATTATAACCACATATACCATAATCACAAAGCTCTAACTAGTATTAGAGTTCTTTTGTAATCCGAAAAACAGATCTTCTGCAATTAAAAAGGAACTAAGTTAATAGAAGCAAAACCATAAGGTATATCTGATTTACATCATTCTCTGCTACTAAAAAATAACTTCCCAACACATTTATTTTCCTCCTGTCGTCAGATAAACAAATCTAGAAAAACAAAACATCTTCCAGGGCTAAGATTAACAGTACTGAGTGTAAAATAAGCATTTTTATAACATGAGAGTCTGAAAAGAAATTCAACTTTCCTGTGAGCCCCAAGTCTCTTACACAATTTACTCTCATCAACAACAGCAGAGCGTCCTGCTTGGTAACCTATAATGTTCAGTTTCTGCCACTTCTTTCTTCCTAATGAATGAAACCTCAGTGAATTACCCTTCTCTCTTGATAATTACCTTGCAGGTGTACTCAGTCCTTGACAAGATTCTACATTTTCTTCCTCTCTTCCCTCCATCCTATTCTGCACATTCACCATGCACCAAGATGTGACAAATCAGAGACTTATCTAAATACCTTCACTTCCTATCACCAATGGAGATCGTGTTTAAATTCCCAACCACTAACCTTATTTCCTAATACATTTCTATTGTACTCTCTGTTTCAGCATCCAAATCTACTCAAGCTGACCTCCATACAACTCCCTTCACCAGTCCTCATTCCTCCAATACTTAAAAAAAAGTATCTCTACATCCACTTCCCCATTAACTGAATTCACATTTATTGAGCATCTTATGTGCCAGATTAACTGAGATAGTAATTTCAAACAGCCACCCACCCTTCATCTGTTCATTCAGCAAACACTTACCATGTGCCCACTTTATAGGAGACACTATGCTAGGCATGGGGGATACAAGGTGAACAAAAGGAGACACAGTCCTTAGCCTCACAGAGTTTATAACTTAATAGGATGAGAGAGTTATTGAACAGTCACTAAATAACTGTGTAATTATAAACTAAGATTAATGCAATGCAAGAACAACTAGAAGTGCTAGGAGAGTCTCTAATGAGGGGTCTGATCTAATTTGGAAGAATCAAAGACTGCTTCTCCAAGGAATAATGTTTCAATTCAGATCTGAAGGAAGAGTAAAATTAACCAAATGAAGGGGGGAAAAGACAATTCTCAGCAAAAGAAAATGGGATGTGCAGAGATCCTTGACAGAAGAGAGCACTGTGCATCTGAAGGAAAAAGTACAGGCAGAGTGGTGGGGGCAAGAAGGAGCCATGCATGGAAGGTCAGGACCACCCGGAGCAGTGGGCTATATCAAGCTCCTGGTCTTTAATATGATGGCAACTGGAATCGAGTTACTGGTGAAAAGCAGGGTCAAAAAGATTTTCATTTTAGAAGATCATTCTGCCTGCAGAGTGGAAAAGGAATTGGAATGAAGCAGCTGGTGCAGTAGTCCAGGTGAGGGAGGATAGTGTCTGAGATTAAGGCTAAAGCAGTGGGAACGGAGTGCAGAGGTGGAATGTGGGAAGTATTCTGGTAGCAAACAGGACTTGGTGGTGGACTTGATAATGTGAGGTGTTATGAATGAATCTTAGGCTTCTAAATTTTACAACGGGAAAAACTGAACAGAGCTTGAGTTTGTTTTGTTGGAAGAAACGAATTCATGAGGTCAGTCTTGAAGTACCTTTGAAAAATCCAAAAGAAGAGGTATAGCACAGTGCTGTACTCAAAGTGTGGGCCACAAATTAAGAAAGCAATCCCACTAACAATTGTATCAAATATAATAAAATACCTAGGAATAAATTTAGCCAAGGGGGTGAAAAACTATAAGACTCTGATGAAAGAAATTGAAAATGACACAAATAAATGGAAAGATATCCTGTGCTTATGGACTGGAAGAATTAATATTGTTAACATCCATACTACCCAAAGCAAATCAACTCAACCCCTATCAAAATACCAATGGCATTTTTCAAAGAACTGGAACTAATAATCCTAAAATATGTATGGAACCATAAAAGACCCCAAATAGCCAAAGCAATCTTGAGAAAGAAAAGCAAAACTGGAGGTATACTGCAAAGTTATAGTAATTAACACATTATGGTACTGGCACAGAAACAGAAAGATCGATCAAACAGAATAGAGAGCCCAGAAATAAACCCACATCTCTATGGGTTCATCAACATCAATTAATTGATGATAAAGGAGTCAAGAATATGTAATGTAGAAAAGACAGCATCTTCAATAAATGGTGTTGTACATTTCAATAAATGGTGATGTACAGCTACATGCAGAAGAATCAAATTGCATCACTTCCTTACAACATGTACTGAAATAAACTTAAAATGGATTAAAGACTTAAATGTAAGATCTGAAACCATAAAACTAGAAGGAAACACAGGCAGTAAATAAACTCTTTGAAGTTGGTACTAGCAATATTTTTTTGATCTGTCTCCTGAGGCAAGGGCAACAAAAGCAAAAATTAATAAATGAGACTACATCAAATTAAAAAGCTTTTGCACAGCAAAGGAAATCATCAACAAAATAAAAAGGCAGCACTGAATGAGAGAAAATATCTGCAAATGATATTTCTGATAAGAGATTAATATCCAAAATATGTAAAGAACTTTTATATGTGTGTACATATTCTATACATGTGTAAAATATATATAAAATAATGGAATATTACTCAGCCATAAAAACAATGAAATATTTCCATTAGCAACAATATGAATGGATCTAGAGAGTATTACACTAAGTGAAATGTCAAAGAAAGACAAACAATTATATGATTTCACTTATATGTAGAATCAAAAAACCAAAAATAAATAGAAACAAACTCATAGATACAAAGAACAAAGGGATAGTTGCCAGATGGGAGAAGGATGAGGGGGTTGGGTAAAACAGGTGAAGGGGATTAAGAGGTATAAACTTCCAGTTATAAAGTAAGTCACAGAGATGTAACGTACAGCATAAGGAACAGAGTCAATAATACTGTAAAAACTTTGTATGGTGACAGACGGTTACTAGACTTATCGTGGTAACCACTTTGTAATGTATCTAAAAGTGAATCACTACGTTGTACACATGAAACTAATACAATATTGTTCATCAACTACATTTCAATTAAAAGAAAAAAAAGTGTGGTCCACGAACTATTAATGTTCACGAGGTGAGTACAAAAAATGAGAAAATGCATTTAGAAGCTTTTAACTACCATTTGAGAGTAATTTTATACCTGTTAAATCTAAAATAGATTTCTATTTTTTAAACTTATTTTCCCAGTAATTTATTTTTACTGTACTTTACAACAGCCCTGGTTTGTGACATGTCATAGATTTTACAATTTCTCTAGAGTTTGAGGAGCACTGGTCTGGAAGACAATTAAATCAGGACTTGTAAACAACATAAATTACAAATACAAATAAAAAATAGTAATTGTCCAAATGGGAAACTTTGGGCATTGGATGAACTTGCATAAGAAAGAAGATTTACAGAGAGAAAAAGAGGGTTTAAGACTAAGAATTAAGGAACTTCTACATTTGACAGGTAACAGAGGGTGAGCTTGCAAAGGAAACTGATGAAGTACCATCAAAAAGAGGGAGACAAACTAAGAAAATTTGATGACATATAAAAAGATTAAATGAGATACGTTTGTGACATAATCAATCTCCTGCTCACACCTGTGTGCAATTAAGAGCAGTTACTAACTACTAGAACCTGTGTAGTAGGGAAAAGGCCACCTTTCATTCTTAAAGGCACACTGATGTCTCTTAAGACCGCATCCACATCGTTACCAAACTGGGAATTTAGTTTTTTAGTATACGTTTACTATGCTCGGTAGAAATGAGTGGTTTTGCAGTTAAATATGCCGTTAATCTTAAATACAGCAACGTCGTTTCAAGTACAACTTAGAAATTCAAAGAAATTTACAAAAGAGCCAGCTGGACTTAGCCACGGAGAAGTCATTCCTGCCTAACTTCTCCAGAGCAAGCGTGGCTTGGGGTGTCTTACACACTTCTGTACCGCTTTCACACCTCGGCCTCGCCCAACTTTTAAAAACCTCTGCACCTCTGCATAGCACGGAAATATATACAAGATCTTATAGTAGCTTACGGTGAAAAAGAATGAGACAATATATGTATGTTCACGTATGACTGAAAAACTGTGCTCCACACTGGAAATTGACACAACACTGTAAACTGACTATAACTCAATAAAATAAAATATAAAACAAACAAAACCTCTGCACCTCAAGGCAGAATCGCTAGGTTTCCGTCCCCTCAGGCTGCGCGCCATCGGCCTCGAGTCTCCCCCTTAGAACTCTTTACCCTTTTCTAAGAAGTTGATCACCACCAGAGTTCCGGCCGCAACGGCAGGAGAAGCCTTGGACCCCGCAGGTACGGAAGCAGCGGAGGGCGAGGGCGAACCGCTCTCGGCGCTTTGGTTCTGCCGTTTTCTGTTCTTCTTGGAAGACATGATCGGAAGGCAGCCCAAGAGAAGCAGCGGTAAAGCCGGCTCAACGTGCACGCATCTCTGAGAGAAAAACTTCCGGGGCAGAAGGCAGCGAGGCTCCGTCCCGCGCCGTAATCCCCTGAGTGGAGCGCAATTGAAGCCGGCGAACTGCGCGTCTTCAGAATCCGCCGTCGTTGATTTCTGCCATGGAAGAAGGCTTAGGTGGACAGACCGTCATTTAGATTGTAAATTCCTGAAAAACAGGACTTTTTCCTATCTCTGCCGCCCTCCTTATCCCTGAACAAACGTCTGTTGAATTAAACCGGGTGGGGGAAGGGGAGTCGTGGGAAAGTTTCTCCCCGCTTTCCTGGAGCCGGGCAAATTCCTGAGAGGAGCCAGTCGACAAGACTCAGCCGTCTCCTCTGCCTAGCGCTGCAAAGTGGTAACCGTGGCTCAACTCTGATAAGGGTTGGGTGGTACTCTTCTGAAACTTACGGTAGCGTCCTCTGTTCCAGGGCGCACGGCGTAGGTGCTTAAGAGGCTCGCGGCGGGTGGGGCCACGAGGGCGGGTGTGCAGATGCAGCCGCTGCGAAGCGGGAGCTGCTGGCGCGCGGTGCTGGCCCGGGCCCGCCGCGCGGTGCTTTTGGCGGGACCCCGCTGGGCCTCGGACGGCCCGGGTAACGCGCAGGATCCCCCGGCCGGAGCCGGCGAGCTGCCGGGCGAGCTGGACCGATTCGGGGGCGTCTCGGTGCGGCTGAACGCGCTGGACCACCTGGACCCCGCCGCCTTCAAGAGGGCCTTGCAGGGCAAGTGCGGCTGGACCGAGGCTCCTCGGGCTCCTGAGCCTTTCTGTTGAAGTAACCGTGGCCCCCACCCCCGAGTCGCGCCCTAAACCCGTCAACTACCGAGTCCAGAGGGAAGGGGAGAGGGCACGCGCGACCCGCACGCGTTTTCTGCCTTCGTTTTTGTGCTTTTTACTGGGAGGTCTCTGAGGCGGTTGGGTGAAATGGTGACGAGCTCAAGCTTTGGGGTCGGCAGCCCTCGTTTCTGGTCCTCTTTCTAGTGTGGCCTTGGGCAAGTTGTGTAAACCAGCATTTTTCTCATCCGTAAAACCAGGTAATAGGAACTAGCGGAATTGCTAAGGGATAAGTTGTATAAGGCGTATAAAAGTGCCTAGGACGGTATCTGCTATATGTTTAACGCTTAGTATATGTTTGTTAATAGTATATTATAATCTACTATCACTTACTAAGCCTTGGTTCTGCTGGGCACTTTGCCAAAGACAGAACTATCTCACTTTCTAATACAGGTGGTGGGCAGTGGGTGGGCCAGAGGTTCTGAGTGGTCGTATTTGTACACAGGTCGGGTCAGGAGCTGTGGCGCTGAGAACTAGAGAGTTTGCTTCTTCTTAGAGACCAGCAAGCATTTTATGATTAACCAGGGAGATTGGTGAGTGGTTTCAGTCTTCAATAGGAAAACTCACTCCTCTATTTGAACCTTGAGCCCAATGATAAGAAAGTAAACTTGGAAGGAGGAGCCTTCACTTTGAGAGCCTTTGATCTGGTGGAACAGCCTGTTTTTCAAACTGGCCTTGAGAGTCCTTATAACCAAATTCAAGGTTAGAGCATGGAATTTAGCCATGGAAAGATCCTCTCACACTAACAGGAAACTTCAAATAATCTTTATCCTATGGAGCAGTGTGGCAAGTGAGCATCTGTGGAAATATAATTGAGCTAGTTATTTCAATCTTTAATTATCCGTATTTCTAAGCTAATTACTTCTTCACGTTAATTTCTCTCCTACTTGTGAACAATTGCTAACTTTAGCAGTATTACCAGTAAGAGAATCAAATCAATGTTCAGCCTCTAATATGTGTATATATGTGTGGGTAGACGCAGGTATTTATTGCACACTTGTCACTTGTTACTGGATCAAACACGTTGTCAAAACACTACCTAAGTCAAGAAGGCGAAGCAGAAAGTGGGTTGAGCTTGAAATCTCCCAGGTTCTGCCACGTGGTTAGCCAGGCATTAGGCAAATCACTGAAAATATTTGCCTCAGGTTGCTTATGTGAATAATGCCAGCTCTAATTACTTCACTGGATGGATGTGATCAGGAATAAATTACATGAAACTAGTTTATAAACTCTGAAATACCTTATACTTTTTATATCTTCTTAAATTATTTTGCACTAAGTGCTATATACTGTTTTAAGAACTTCACAAATATTGACTCATTTAATCCTCATAACAGCCTGTGAGGTAGGTACTAAAATTATCCTCATTTCAAAGATGATGGTACTAAGAGACAGATTAACTTCCCCTGGTTCTGGAAGCTGTTCTTACTGCATTAAAAGAGCTATTGCTAATTTTTTTGTTACTGAGTCAAACAAAACTGAATGGTATCACCTATAAAAAGAAACTGAAATCATCTGAGAAGAAAGTCTAATAGGAAGTCTAAATCTTTCTTTTTAAGTAATTGTACTGATGTATTAGCAATAGATGTTATGCACCTTTAGATGTGAAGTCTATTCTTTTACTGTTTCTGTAACTAATAACTAAAGTTAGATGATGAACAGGCAATATGTTGTTCGGCTTCACATATCTGCATAAAGAGTAGTCCTTAGGTTCACATATGGAGAGCAGGTGAAGAAAGGTTAATGTCAAAGAGGTGGTGTGTGAGCTCACTTTGAGAGATAAGAGATTAGGGATAGAGGAGGAAAAAGCATTGAAGTTTATTAGAGAAAAAAAGGATTAAAAAAATGATTCTTAAACTTCAGGTATTGGAGCCAGAAATATGCCTGTAAATAAAACTAATTTGGGGTGGATGGTGTAGGAGTCAGTTTTGAACATGGGTGTGAAGTTTGACATAGCAGCCTTCAGGAAATGTATGAGATGAGAGCAGCTGGAAAGCAGAAGACTTCAGTGTTCAGTAAGGTCAGGACCAGGCAACTGTCCTTGTATAGTTGTTGGCTGAAGCAGTGGAAGTGGACGGATTCTCCAAGTCAGAGTGTAAGATTAAAAATAGTGAACAAGTGACTGTACATTCAGCACCTCAGCTTTTTCATTTGATTGGAATGATTGGGGAAGGAGGACGTGGGAACTTTCTGGGGTGACAGAAATGTTCTACAGTCTCGACTGTGGGTTACACAGGTATCTGCATGTGTCAGAACTCATCAGATGTTCACTTAAGATTTGTTTGTTTCACTTTATGTAATTCTGTGTGAATTTCAAAAAGATTTAATTAGAGAAAGATGGAGGTGAGAAGGATTTGAGGGGGACACCATAGCCCCAAATCAAGAAGTCTGTTAAGCTAAGGCTCTGGAGTTGTCTGTCACTGTGTTAGGCGCACTAACTTTCAGAGAGGTAGGGAACAGGGAAAGTTACTGCAGAGGCTGTAGAAGAGAAAGGAAAGGAATCTACCCATTAAATAATCAAGTCTTTCCCTCTCCACACGTACTTTACAGGATTATTGTAAAGATTAAGTGAGATGGTGGATAAAAAAAGTAGTCTGAAAAGTTTTCCCAAAACTGTGAAGCATTTATTTCTTCACCTATAAATTAAGGGTGATAATACCTGCCTTTCATGTTGTGAGAACTTAATGAAGTGTATCTAAAGTGTCTGGAATATACTAAGGAACAGATAATGTTAGCATCTTTTTTCCCTGGCTCAATCTTAAGTAATAAAGTAAGAGAATTTAAAGTCAAAGACAGAAAGACTATCTTCATGTTCATCGTGGTATTTATTCTAAAGAAAAATTAGAAACAATCTAAATACATAAGAGTAGGTTGGTTAAGTAGCTTATGGTATACCTATATAAGGAAAATTATGCAGTCATTATGAATGTTCATTTAAGAATTTTAATGACAGCAAAATATTTACAATATAATATGTAGTTTAAAAATATACTGTAAATTATTTTGTAACTATAATCATATGATGTCAATTCCAAAATTATTCATGGGAAAATATCAAAATTTAAAATTTTATCAGTGTGCTAATGTGAATTTTTAATTTCCTTATACTTTATTTTCAAAATTTTCTAGAACTACCATACATTATTTTAAAAACAAATTTATACTTTTAACCACCTTGAAATGTATAAACAAAAAATATGTGTGTATATATAGAGAGAGAGAGAGATGTAACAGGACTCTTAAGAGTAAATAGAAGCCCATAATGGTCACTTACAAAGGTTGAAACTACAGTTAAAAGGAACAGCACTGAAATGGTATTTTATTTAAATCAGTTTATTTGTTCATTCTGCAATTATTGAGCACCAGTTATGTGCCAAGTATTGTCAGATGATATGAATATAAAGATCATCACATTAACCTGGTAGAAAAATCATATAAACAGGGTAGTAATTATCATAGAACATTTAAATGTAATAAAACAGTTCCCATGCTGCTGGTGTATGTGAACAGGACATTTTGGGACCCCCCCCCCCGCCAAAGAGAGCTAACTAGTGTAACTAGTGAGGGACTTGGAGCTTAAACATGGCTTCCTGGAGAGGGGACAGCCAGAGATGAGTTTTAATTTACTCCACTCCTGTCACTGGAAAATATTTACAGATTTATTTTTTCCCTTCCGTTTTAGCTGCAGTACAGAAATGGAGATCAGAAGGTAGAGTAGCCGTATGGCTGCACATTCCCATCCTCCAAAGCCGCTTTATTGCCCCTGCCGCTTCCCTGGGCTTCTGCTTTCACCACGCAGAATCGGATGCATCCACACTGACCCTGTGGCTGGGAGAGGGGCCCAGCAGACTACCAGGCTACGCTACACATCAAGTGGGAGTTGCAGGTCAGTTTCAAACTAATGATGATCAAAATTAACTTTTTAGAGGGTTACCCAATTTCTTATTACAGCTGAGTGATAGTTTATTCACGTGGAATGAATAATTTGATTAAATAATTATCCTCCTTGAAACTGTAGCTTAGCACTTTAATTAGATGAAGTTTGCCTTATGAATCAGCAGAGGGCAGCCTAGAGAACAAGCAAGTTTAGTGTGTGGTTTTCCAAAGGATATGTTTGAACATGTTTTACCCAAGATATTTGAACTTCACTACTGACATAGTTACACTAAATTAATTCATTTCATTATGGTAAAACATATTAATACTAATTATATGAATTAGTAAAATAAAAGATAGCATTTAAGTTGAATTTTAGGTAAAGCAGACCAGTTTTTCAGTGATTTTGAACATCTTAAAGATATCTACATTAAGTCAGTGTGCCAAACAGTTGTTTAAAATAGCATAATTTAAATACAGAGTTTTGAAGTCACTGGTTAGCTTCAGAAACATAGTCTTGAGAGAATACTTGCTTTAGGTTAAGACAGTTCTCAAATTGTAGAGTGTATCAGAATCACCTGGAGGGCTTGTTAAACCAGATTGCTGTGCCTCGGTCCCAAGAGTTTCTAATTGAGTTGGTCTGGGGAGGGGCTTGAGAATTGTACTTCTAATAAGTTCTCTGCTGCTGCAGCTGCTAATATGCTGGCCCTAGAACTACCCTTTGAGAAGCAAGGTGAAGAAAATTCCTAGATTTTCCAGAAAAACAAAAATAGAAAAGAACCCTTATAATTTAAAATAAATTAAAGCAGTAGTGTGTATTAATTAGTAATAATATTATTTGTCTTTATGTAACTTACAATAGGTTTTTAAAGGTAGTTTGCATCTTTGAAGTCTTTTAAAGGTGTTGTTAAAGCATCTCTGATGTTTTCTCTGTCAATGGTCTGGCGCCCCTGTAGCAATTCGTAAACTTTCCATTCACCTCTACTTCAAAAGACTGCTTAATAATTTGAAGACAGCCAACACTTTGTTCGAAAGTCATATAGATAATTATTGATTCATTGGTACAGACTTTCAAATAGAGTTTCCAGCTGTTCCTACAGATTTGGTAATATATGCATAAACAGTGTCCTGTGAAGGATTTGTTTATAACTAAGTGCTGTATCATATATTATAGTTAAGATACGCTATAGGAATTTAGGGAATGAGAGATACAGAACTTGACCAGAGTCTGTAAGACTACCTAGGATTTCAAGTCCTATTGGGGTAGAGAGATAATGTAACAAATTGTCCTGGAAAGGTACACAGTTTTTTAGGTGAAAAAATAATAGTTGACATTTGTTATAAGCAACAGAAGGCAGGTGTAGCTGGTGAAGGGAGTCAGAACATACCACCCCAAAATATACCACTTTTGGCATATTGATTATTTTGAGCTGGAGATCAGTTGAAAAACAGATGCAGGAAGGACTCTCTTCCTGCTCCTACCTAAAAGCAGGGCATAAGTTTCTTGTTCCATGAAAAGGAGAACATTTCTTATCACCAGAGATGGGGAGTTGACACTGAAATGAGTGTATACAAACTTTATTAAAACAACCCTTATAAAATGAGAAGAGTTAAAGAGACAATTCTCCAGTGAAGATATACAGATGGCCAACAGACACATTTGAAAAGATGCTTAATATCACTAATTATTAGAGAAATGCAAATCAAAACTACAGTGAGATATCACCTCACACAAGTCAGAATGGCCATCATTAAAAAATCTATAAATAATAAATGCTGAAGAGGCTGTGGAGAAAAGGGAACCCTCCTACACTGCTGGTGGGAATGTAATTGGGTGCAGCCACTGTGGAGGACAGTATGAAGTTTCCTTAAACTAAAAATAAACTTACCATATGAACCAGCAATCCCACTCCTGGGCATATATCCTGAGAAAACTACAACTCAAAAAGACAAATGCACCCCAGTGTTCATACCAGCACTGTATACAATAGCCAAGACATGAAAACTGTCTTAATGTCCATTGAGAGATGAGCAGGGAGGTGTGTGTGTCTATATAATGGAATATTATTCAGCCTTAAAAAGAATGAAGTAATTCCATTTGTAGCAACATGAACGGTCCTAGAGATTATCATACTATGTGAAGTCGAAGACAAATATATGATATTGCTTATATGTGGAAACTATAAAAAGAAAGAAAGAAAGAAAATACATGTTTTATTTACAAACCAGAAGTAGACTCATGGACATAGAAAACAAACTGTGGTTACCAGTGGGGAAAAGGGGAAAGGGTAGATAAATTCGGAATTTAGGATTAACAGATACACGTTACTACATGTGAAATAGGTAAACAACAAGGACCTGCTGTATAGCACAGGAAACTATATTCAGTTTCTTGTAATGAGCTGTAATGGAAAAGAATCTGAAAATGTATGTATATATATGTGTAACTGAATTGCTTTGCTACACACATGAAACTAACATTTTAAGTCAACTACACTTCAATTAAAAAATAAGAATTCAGAAAAGAAATCCTTATGTTCTGTTAGTTTCCCCCGTATATTTCCTAGTCACTTTTTCACAATTTACCTCCCCTACCCCAAACACTTTTGTCATTTCTTCACAGTTTATCCTTCTTTTTTACAATGGTACATAAGCCCCAAGTCTAACCACTTTTGAGGGATTTTCACTGCTTTCTTTGAAGCTCTCCACCCCCACCCCAGGCCATATAAAAATATTAACATCAAATAAAACTTACATACTTTTTATCCATTGATCTATCCTCTTCTCAGCTCAACTCACAATTCCCAGACATAGAACCTAAGTGGGCAGAAGAAAAAAATCTTTCCTCCCCAGCACTTGAATGGAGTGATCTATAGCTTGCTTAATTTTTTTAATATCTTTATTGTGGTATGATTCCTGTAAGTAACCTACACATATTTCAGATGTACAATTTGATGAATTTTGATAGACATGTCTACCAATGAAACCACCGTCACAATCAAGATAGCTAACATTTCCATCACTCCCCAGGAGGTGCAAATTTTGAATTCTCAGTTTATCCCTCCCCCAACCCCCCTGTTTAACCCCCTGGAAATCATAAGTTTGTTCTCTAGGTCTGTGAGTCTGTTTCTGTGTTGTAGATAAGTTCATTTGTGTCCTTTTTTTCAGATTCCATATATAAGCAATATCATATGGTATTTTTCTTTCTCTTTCTGGCTTAGAATGATGATCTCCAGGTTATCCATGTTGCTGCAAATGGCATTATTTTATTTTTTATGGCTGAGTAGTATCCACTGTGTGTGTGTGTGTTATGTATATGCACACATACCACATCTTTATCCAGTCATCTGTCAATGAACCTTTAGGTTGTTTCCATTTTGGCTATTGTAAATAGTGCTGCTGTGAACATTGGGGTGCATGTGTCTTTTCAAATTATATTTTCCTCTAGATACATGCCCAGGAATGGCATTGCTGGATCATACTGTAAGTCTATTTTTAGTTTTTTGTGGAATATCCATACTGTCCTCCATAGTGGCTGCACCAATTTACATTCCTACCAGCAGTATAGGAGGGTTCCCTTTTCTCCACAGCCTCTCCAGCATTTATTATTTGTAGACTTTTTAATGATGGCCATTCTGACTGGTGTGAGGTAATATCTCATTTTAGTTTCAACTTGCGTTTCTGTAACAATTAATGATGTTGAGCATCTTTTCACAGCAATATAGCTTTCTTTATGTTCTTTAAATATAGCAAGCTTTTATTTGCCTCAGAGGAAACTGAAAAACATACTGGTTCTTATTTCTACAGTGCTCTTCCCCAGGGCTTTGTTTATCTAGCTCTTTAGAGCTGAGGCCTGTGCTCAGATACCTTCTCTGAAAAACTCCCAACCTTCCTGTCTAACATGGAGTCCTCCTGCATGCCAGTCCCGTCATCCTTTGTCCCTTTACCCAGCTCGGGATACCCAGTTTTTCTTAACAGCATTTATCACAATCTGAAATTATCACGTGCTTAATTTCCCCCACGAGGGGAGATATTTCACCTGGCTTGTTTACTTCTGTATCCTCAGGCTAAGCACAGTGTCTGGTATAAAGTAGATGCACACTAAATATTTCTTGCATGAATGATTGGATAGATCTTCAAGTGGAAACATCAGCCCTCTGAAAAGGAAGTGGTGGTGTGGGGAAAGGCTAGTGTTGCACAGAGAGAAGAATGCCTGCTCGGATCCAGACAGGATGTCAGCTGTAGGCACTCAGGATAATTATGAGAATAGCTGAGATAAAGACATTTAGCACAGTACTTGACTAATCATAGTAATATAATAGTAACCTCCTTTTAATCCCTGATCTCTTTAGATTTATTTAACTTTTATGTTGAGACCAGCAGGGGTCGCTCACATGGTGCTTTAGCAGTGCCAGTTTTGTCTGGAATAAGTATTTTGCTCATGTTTGTAGTCAACTAGGGAAAAGTTCAATTTGAGTAATCACAAATTATTAAAATTTAAGAGTAGGTTTCCTTGGCATTTCTCTGGCATTCTGTCCCTTGTAAATCTAATTAAATTATAGTTTATATTTTTCAACAGAAGCCAACATTAATGTTAATTATATCTCACTTTGTAGCTTTCCTTCTTGCTTTGAAATATTAAAATGTGATGTTTTAATTCCAGAGAAGATTGCTCCTTTGTGTTGCACATATCTATTTCCTGCTATATTTTATCTCTACATAGCATTTATTACCTTCTCATGTTCTGTATAATTTATTTTTTGTTTATATATTTGTCACCTTCTCATACAGACACCAGAACATGAGCCCTATAAGGATAGGGAATTTTCTTCTGTCTGCACTATGTCCCTAGCAGCTAGACAAGTGCCTGACGCAAAACAGGACCTCAGTGAGTGTACTGTATACAGAACCTATATGTATTATATATTGGAGTTCAAGTAATATTAAAACTATTGATGAATAAGTGGAAAATACCTTCCTAACAGTATCTTCTCACACTATGTAAATACATATTATTTTTAAATTATAGCATTTAAAGGAACCTAATATAAATCTTTAAAATGTCATTTGTATTTTTGACCCAGGATTACCTGAAAAGAAAACTTACTTATTTTTGAGTTCCTAACACCTAGCAAAATGCCCAGTGTGCAGGGCAGTGTACATAATGAATGAATAAGTAAAAGAAATGGACTAGACCTTAAAATATAAAATAAATAAGTATTCCAAGGTAATATGTTATAAAGTTGTGTATATACATGGTAAAGAAATTTAAGTGGCTTCAAGGATGTCTTGAACTGAATACTGAGATACCTGAGATTTGGATCGTCAGGGAGCACAACCCATTTTCTATACATAGTGATTCAGGAAATAAAAATGAGAATGGTAGAGTCAATTCACTTATTCAGTAAATACTTTTAAGCACTTAAAATTGTACAATAAAGGAAATGGTTAAAAAAAGGATAGAAAGACTTATTTAACTGTACTGTCAAGAATAGATGATCTAGAAAAGACGCAGATGGTTATATACAAGCTAGCATGTGCTAGAACCATCACTGGTACTCAGAGTTGTAAAATGAACTAGATAACTGAACAACCAGTTTTCTTGGTGGAGAGATTTTACAAGTCTACATGGATGAGGTGGATGTTTGAACTAGGCCTGTGGAAATGGGTAGGATTTTAATGGCCACATGTAATAGTGTAGGAGGAGTCTAAAGTGAATGAAATTCATATTTCTCAATTATTTTTCACCCCAATAGGAGCTGTATTTGATGAAAATACTAGAAAAATATTGGTTGTACAAGATCGAAATAAAGTAAGTTGCTTTGTTTTATAAATTGCTTTCTAAATATTTAGCTCTCTCTAGAGAAAAATGAAACTTTCTCTAAAAATAAAAGTAGAAATTTTGATATACTCAAAGAATTACAGAAAGATATTTTAAGTCATTTCTAAGCAGCTATGGGTCATTTAGACATCTATTTAATCCAAAAAATACTTACAAAGGCCTTAAAATGTCAGAGGAACCTCAATGTTGCTCTCTATTTGATGGCTACAGGAAAATTATAAATGGCTGTATATAACTGGGAAGACAGCCCTGTTTCTCACAGACTGTTAGGGTGTTCTTCATTCATTCAACATTCCTTAAGCTTCCAGTCTGAGCCATGTGCTGAGAATGAAGATTAATAAGACAATATCCCCAATACCCTGCAGCTTGCTATCCATTTTGGAAAGCAGTCATACAATACACTGTAGCAACTAACTGCCTTTAAAAACCCATAAAGACTTCTCGTTGGAGGTAATATTTAAACTGAGTGTGAAACTGAGTAGGAGCTACCAGGAAAAAAAAAGGTAAAAAAACACTGAAAAAATTGAAATTGCATATATAAAGGCACAGATCTCAGAAAGGGGCTGACATGGTATCTTAGTCTATTCAGGCTGCTATAACAAAAATACTATAGACTGGGTAGCTTAAACAACGAAACATTTATTTCTAACAGTTCTGGAAGCTGGGTAGGCCTCAAGGCATTGGTGGATTTGGTGTCTTGTGATGTCTACTTCCTGGTTCATAGAGGTTCTCACATGGTGGAAGGGACAAGTGAACTCTCTGGGATCTCTTTTATAAGGGCACTGTTCCCATTCATAAGGAGTTCACTCTCATGACATAATCACCTCCCAAAGGCCCAATTTCATGATACCATCACATTAGGGATTAGGGTTTAAACATATGAATTGGATTGGGGAGATTGTGGAGAAGGAGCATAAACATTCAGTCCATTCTACATAGTGTGAAAGTAATGATTTAAAAAAATCCATTATGGCCAGTAGTGCAGCAAGTGGTAAAATATTTTTTTATTGAAGTATAGTTGATTTATAATATTCTGTTTCAAGTGTACAGCAAGTGATGCAGCAGTTACATATATATTTTTCAGATTATTTTCCATTATAGGATATTACAAGATACTGAATTTAGTTCACTATTCTATTGAGTAACTACTCATTGCTTATCTATTTTATGTATAGTAGTTTATATCTGTTAATGCTGTACATACTCCTAATTTATCCCTACCCCTTCCCTTTCCCCTTTGGAAATCATGAGTGTGTTTTCTATATCTGTGAGTCTGTTTCTGTTTTTTACATAGATTCATTTGTATAATTTTTTAGATTCCACATAGAAGAGATACATAATATTTGTCCTTTTCTGTCTGACTTCACTAATTATAATATTCTCTAGGTCCATCCATGTTGCTGCAAATGGCAATTTCATTCTTTTATGTGGCTGAGTAATATTCCACTGTATATTTACATACTGCATCTTCTTAAGCCAGTCATCTGTTGATAGACACATAGGTTGTTTCTATGTCTTGGCTGTGGTAAATAATGCTGTGATGAACGTGAAGATGCATGTATCTTTTTGAATTAGAGTTTTCATCTTTTCCAGATATATACCCAGGAGTGGGATTATGGGATCATATGGTAGCTCCATTTTTAGATTTTTATGGAACCTCCATACTGCTTTCCATAGTGGCTGCACCAATTTACGTTCCCACCAACAGTGTAGGAGGGTTCCCTTTTCTCCACACCCTCTCCATCATTTGTAGACTTTTGAATGATAGCCATTCTGACCAGTGTGAAATGATACCTCATTGTGGTTTTGATTCACATTTCTCTAATAATTAGTGATGTTGAGGATCTTTTCATGTGCCTATTGGCCATCTGTATGTCTTTTTTGGAGAAATGTCTACTTAGGTCTTCTGCCCATTTTTGATTGGGTTTATTTTTTGATAATAGTTGTATGAGCTGTTTGTACATTTTGGCCATTAGCCCCTTCTTAGTCCCATTGTTTGTGGATATTTTCTCCCATTCTGCAGGTTATCTTCTCATTTTGTTTATGGTTTTCTTTGCTGTGCAAAAGCTCTTCAGTTTAATTAGATCCCATTTGTTTATTTTCGCTTTTTATTTATTCTGCCTTGGGAGACTGTTCTAAGAAAATATTGCTACAATGTATGTCTGAGAATGTCTAGCTGTATTCTCTTCTAGGTGTTTTATGTGTAATTCTTATATTTAGGTCTTAAACCATTTTGAGTTCATTTTTGTATATGGTGTAGGAGAGTGTTCTGATTTCATTTATTTACTGTAACTGTCCAGCTTTCCCACATCACTTGTTGAAGAGACTGTGTTTTCCTCATTGGGTATTTTTGCATCCTTTATCATAAATAAATTGACTGTAGGTGTGTGGGTTTATTTTGGGCTCTTTATTCTGTTCTGTTGACCTATGTGTTTGTTTTTGTGCTAGTACCATTATTTTGGTTACTGTAGGTTGTAGTGTTGTCTGAAGTCTAGAAAGGATGTGCCTCCAGCTTTGATCTATTTCCTCAGGATTGCTTTGGCAATTCTGGGACTTTTGTGGTTCCACATAAATTTTAGGATTATTTTTTCTAGTTCTATGAAAAAATATCCTGGATATTTTGATAGGGACTGCATTAAATTTGTAGATTGCTTTGAGTATGGCCATTGTAACAATATTTATTCTTCCCATCCAAGAGCATGGGATATTATTCCATTTCTTTGAATCATCTTCACTTTCCTTTATCAGTGTTTTATAGTTTTAAGGGTAAAAGTCTTTCATCTCCTTATTTAGGTTTATTCCTAGGTATTTTATTTTTTTATGTGATTTTTAAATGGGATTTTTAAAAACTGTCTCTACTTCATTGTTAGTGTAAAGAAGTACAACAGATTACTGTATGTTTAATCTTGTATTCTACTACCTTACAGAATTCATTTATTCTTACTAGTTTTTGTGTGGAGACTCTAGGGTTCTCTGTGTACAGTATCATGTCATCTGCAGATAATGACAGTTTTACCTCTTTCCTTTCAATCTGGATACCTTTTGTTTCTTTTTCTCTTCTGGTTATTTTGGCTAGGACTTCCAATACTATGTTGAAAGAAGTGGTAAGAGTGGGCATCCCTGTTAGTTTCTGAACCTAGCAAGAAGGCTTTCAGCTTTTTACTTTGAGTATTACGTTGGGTTTGTTGTAAATGACTTTTATTATGTTGAGATATGGGCCCCTTATACTCAGTTTGGTGAGAGTTTTCATCATGAATGGATGTTGAATTTTGTGAAATGTTTTATCTGCATCCATTGAGATGATTGTGTGGGTTTTGTCTTTTCCCTTAATATAGTGTATCACATTGATTGATTTGCATATGTTGAACTATCCTGTGATCATGAGATGAATCCAACTTCATCATAGTGTATGATCCTTTTTTATGTATTGTTGTATTCAGTTAGCAAATATTTTGTCGAGGATTTTTGCATCTATATTCATGAAAGATACTGACGTAATTTTCCTTTTTTGTAGTGTCTTTTTCTGGTTTTCTTACCAGGGTATGGTGGCTTCATAGAATGACTTTGGGAGTGTTCTCTCCTCTTCCGTCTTTTGGAAGAGTTTGAGAAGGATAGGTGTAAGTTCTTCATTGTTTGGTAGAATTCCCCAGTAAAGCCATTGGTCTTGGACATTTGGGGTTTGTTTGTTTGTTTTTATTACAGTGTCTGCTTCATTTCTAGTGATCAAATTATCTTTTTCTTCTTGACTCAGTTTTGACAGGCTTTATGTTTCTTGAAAATTGTCCATTTCTTCTTGGTTGTCCAGTATTTGGCATATCACTGTACTATTCTCATGATTTTTTTTTTTATTTCTGTGGCATCAGTTATTTCTCTTTCATTTCTTATTTTGTCTGTTTGGGTCCTCTCTCCTTTGAGCCTGGATAGAGGTTTGTTAATTTTGTTGATCCAGTTTTTGGGTTATTGATCTTTTCTATTTTTTTAATTTATTTTTTATTTCTTCTCTGGTCATTATAATTTCCTTCCTTCTGCTGACTTTGGGTTTTGTTTGTTCTTTTTCTGATTCTTTTAGGTGGTAGGGTTAGGTTGTTTGAGATTTTCTTGTTTCTTGAGGAAGACCTGTATTGCTATGAATTCCCTCTTAGAACTGCTTTTATTGCATCCTATAGATTTTGTAAGGTTGTGTTTTCATTCTTGTCTGTCTCAAGGTATTTTCTTATTTCTTCTTTGATTTTATTGTTGACCTATTGGGTTTTTAGTGGCATGTTGTTTAGTCTCCATATGTGCATTCTTTTCCCATTTTTTTCCCCTGTGGTTGATTTCTAGTTTCATATCATTGTGGTCAGAAAAGATGTTTGAAATAATTTCTATCCTCTTAACTTTGTGGAGGTTTGTCTTGTGACCTAGTATGTGGTCTGTCCTAGAAAATGTTCCATGCATGATTGAAAAGAATGTGTATTCTGAATTTTTTGGATGTAGTGTCCTGTAGATATCAACTAAGTCCAACAGTTCTGTTATGTCATTTAGGACCTCTGTTATCTTACTGATTTTCTGTCTGGAAGATCTGTCCTTGGATGTCAGTGGATTGTTAAAGTCTCCTACTATTATTGTATTCCTGTTAATTTCTCCCTTTATATCTGTTAGTATTTTATATATTAATAAAGATACTCCTATATTGGGTGCACATATGTTAATGTGTATAATATCCTCTTCTTGTATTAAACCTTCATCATTATATGATGTCCTTTTATGAATTTTGTTTTAAAGTCTGTTTTTGTCTGATATGAGTATTGCTACCCCTACTTTCTTGTCATTTCCATTTGTATGAAATATCTTTTTCCATTCCTTCACTTTCAGTCTGGATATGTCTTTCATCTGAAGTGAGTCTCTTGTAGACAGCATATTGTAGGTTCTGAGTTTTTTGTCCATTCTGCCCCTGTTTGTATTTTGATCAGAATATTTAGTCCATTGAC